ATGAACAGTGTTGCGTCTATGTGTTATCAGAAATGATCCAATATCACCTTTAGCCAAAATTCAGAAATGCTTTAAATCATTTTTCAAACTTTAATTGTCTGAACAAACCATTTTGTACTAAATGCAACGTCCATTAAAAGCTGCAGTTCTCTTCCTAGCACCAGTTTCAACTGTGCATGTGATTGTTCTTAAATGAGAAACGAGCCACGGTTCAGAGGTTGAAAACACTGCTTTAAATATCCGTATTACCAAGATCATGCAGTTAAAATCAATAATTCTAAACTTCTCCGCGTCTATAACTTTAAATAATACTAGTTTCAATAATAGAGCTCCTCTACTTTAAATATACTGCTGTTCTAATCTCCTTGTGTCTCATGCTAAAGCAAGAGTCTAATTAATTTTAACGATTGTCCTGTATTCTTTCATGCAGCTAAATGTGGTGTTATGAACGAATGACCTAAATGTGTAAATATGTCTTAATATGTCTCTGTGCGTTTGTTGCCTGTCTGTATATTTACCTTCTGTGTGTCTCATTTAGGCCAGCCACGTCTCAAATGTCCGTTAATGTCTTTCTTTTACTCATGGCGTCTTTCAATGTCTTTTGTCTCATAGTGTCCAATGTCTTTGTCTCCATGTCTTTTTTCTTCTTCTTTCAACAATCACTTTCTTTCTTCTTCCGATAACTCTTTCTCACAATGTCTTTCTTCTTCTTTCATATCTGACGCACCCAAATGTGTCGTGTCCTTCTTCTTCTTGTTTGGTTTTCCGGCGGTTGGCGGCCTATTCTTCGCATTACCGCCACCTTCTGTTTCGTGGATGGGACAACACTCAGTTTGTGAAAAAGTCTGCGGTCTTTTCTTTGCCTCCTCACAGGCAGGAGAAGTCTTCTTCGAGAGTTCCTGTTAGCTGCTGCAGCCGATGCTGCCCCCTGCGACCCGCAGGGAGAGGGGGAGACGCTGATGATGATGATGATGATGCTCGGTTGTGGTTTGTGGCAGGGACGATTTTTGGCCAAATGAAACAGACAGAAGTTTTCTCGGAAAAAAACAGACAAACAAGAAAACACAAACAAGTGTGTTAATTACCATACCAAACCAATGATTAATTACAATTCAAAATAAACCTATGAAATAATTACTATTAACATTTTAAACATTAAATTCTGAAAACCAAATCTGCATTCAACTACTATCCTAAGCCCTATTTTTCCAAAAGTATAATGCTCTCTAAGATCATTCTAACTTTTATATCACCAAAATGTAGGGAAAAAAAACTTGTCTAGACGCCTTGGAGATAAAAAAATAAAATAATGCCTCTTTATAATCTAACTCAAAGTTCTGTGATCCTATGACTCCATGTCAGTAACATTATCGTGTGTATAAATGTAATTTTCTACAAAAAATTCTTTCTTCACGAGAGAGAGAGAGAGAGAGAGAGAGAGAGAGAGAGAGGGGAGAGAGAGAGGACAGAACGAGGGAGGGGAGGGGCCTCCCGAACAAAGGAAGCATGGAGTCAAATACTTTTCTCGTTTTTCTCGTGACAAGGTTCTAAATCAGTGGTAAAAGTTTTTTCTCACGTCAAACGACACTTTACATTTTATCCTTAAATACGTCAGTAATGGAAAACATTACCATTTGCTACATGATTAATGTATCGAGAGTTCCAGCAGAATCTTTTTTTTTTTCTGATTCTCTGTAACTATCGAAACATTACATCAGAATACAAGAGAAAAACTCCCAGACTGATCTTTTGTCATTTCTTCACATGAAACTCGTATACTACAGCCAAGAGGCTCTCTTTTTCCTCATTAATCAGATCATTATTATCAGAATCCACATTTTAAATACTTGGCTTTTCTTCTGTTTAAATTAATTGTGCCCTTTTCCCCACCCCCGGGGGATATGGAGTTTTTATTATCCTATAACTTCTGACCCTAACTATCCCTATCTCTCTAATTCTATTCCTATTTTTTCACTAATTCCCTTTGTGCCTCTCTGCACGAAGGTGTGCCTCTTTTGCACTTATAAATCCTGTGGCTCTTTTCATCATCTGTTCTGTTTTCTTTGGAGGGACCCATGCTTCCCCCAAGGTTAAAACGTCTAAACCTGACTATTGTTCTATCGCGTCCGATAGAACGCCCCGTCACGGCGGTCGCCTGGCCACGCTGCAATCTGTCGAGCCAAAATCTCTCTCTCTTCTATTTAAAACAATGTGCAGATTTCCAAAACTGTGATCCGCTTACCTTAGAAGCGACCTTTTTGAAGAGCAGAGAGATTTTTCCAAACCCACAAATCCAGTCTCTATAACTGAGCTCATCTCTGTCCCGCTCCTGCCCCGATCACGTCGGGGTCACCAAAATGAAGTCAATAATTCCCTTTGACTGACGTATCCAAAATCGATGCAAGAGCGAGACAAGAGATCTTCACGTTTAACATCTGCATTTAATTATCTTTACAATCAGATACAGAATGTTCAACAAAAAGTGCTCCTAAAACTATATATGTCCCTCTCTCCTGGCCCTCGGCTGACTGACTGCCAATCTCCTCCCAGCAGTTTCTATCAAAGGGTCCGATGACGTCACAGTCTGGGACTGGTCTGGCCCCTGGTCTGGACCCGGTCTTGGTCTTCCCTCTCCACCTGAGCAAACAATGCCCCCCACCACTGGGCGCCTGATTGTGTTGGACTTTTGCCCTCGTCCAGAGTGGGAGAGAGCATTTGTTTATTCCTGGAGTTAATAATTTGTCCCGTTTTGAAAGCTGGTCATCTCTATGATTCCTGAGTGCATATTCCTTTGTCCTTGGGGCTTTTCCCCGTGCACCTTCTTCAGAGGGCCTATTTTCAAAATCATTAGTATACAACATTTTAATTATGCAACAATGCAGATCCAACTATGGAGGTGAGACTAAGAGAGCTAAATCTGAAGGAACGAGAGTTAGCACTTAGAGAAAAAGAAATGTTGTTAGAACATGAGCGGTTTCTTAAAGAGCTTGAGATCAGAAGAGCTTCAGTTAATGTAAAGCCTGAATTGGACTTTGATGTTGTCAAAAACATTAGATTAGTTCCTCCCTTTGTAGAAAAGGATGTGAAAAGTATTTCCCACATTTCGAAAGGGTTGCGACTATCTCTAAATGGCCTAAACATTGTTGGTCATTACTGTTACAAAGTGTTTTAGTCGGTAAAGCCCAAGTAGTCTACTCTGCTCTATCGCTTGCAGACAGTGGAGAGTATGACATTGTGAAAAATGCTATTTTGAAGGCATATGAGTTAGTCCCTGAAGCTTATCGCCAGCGGTTTTGTGGGTTTAACTAAACCAGAGGACAAATCCTACATGGAATTTGCTAATGAAAAAGAAGCATTATTTGACCGCTGGTGCCTGGCCCAGAAAGCAATGACTGTAGAAGAGTTGAAACAGTTAATTCTGTTGGAGGAGTTCAAAAACTGTCTGCCTGACGGTATTTGTACATACATCAATGAGCAGAAGGTTTCAATCTTTCAGAGGCTGCATTTCTTGCTGATGAGTTTGTGCTGACTCATAAACATAGTCTAGTTAAAGCTCAGGAACCTAAATCCTTTAAGCAACCATTTCTACACCAGGATCAGACCTTTAGAAAGTCTGCCAGTTCCTATGAACAGGTCTGCTTTTATTGTAGAAAGCCTGGCCATTTGATCGTGATTGCTTTACTTTGAATAAAGAAAGAAGCCCAAACCAGTCGCTTTCCTTGATACTGAAAAAACTCCAAGCTTAGGTGTAGAACCTAAACGAGAGCATGAAATGGCTTGCTCCTCCTCATTTTTAATGGATGGGTTTGTGTCATTACCTTCTAACCCCACGGATAGAAGCGCAATAAAAATATGGAGGGATAGTGGGGCCTTTCAGTCTGTTATGTTGCAGGATGTTCTCCCCTTTGCAGAGCAGTCTGAGCTGTATCCACTTGGATCGAAACGTTATCACAATAAATACAGTCTTTTTGGAGTAAGTGTGCAGGCCTTTTCATCATTCCACTGGAAAATTTGTGAAACCAAATAAGAAATTTCACATCTAGTTTATGTACTACAGGTTTTGAGTTATAAATTAGTGTGAATAATTAATACAAATGATTGTTTGCCTAATTTTTGTTGTCTTGTTTGTAGAACTTACAGATGCAGACATCCTGGAGCTCAAGCTGATTGCCCCAGAAGCTGCTGTCCTGACCAGAAATTGGGACTGGAATGACTTTAACCCACACACGTCAAACTCAGGCCCAAGGGCCAAATCTGGCCTCTAAAATGATGTTCAAAGATATTTATTGCAGTAACTTTCAGCATTGATGGTAAGGGGAGACTATGGCATGTTATATTTAATAACAAAGTCTATAGTCTCAGAAAAACCACCATGTAATTGTATATGCTCTGAAATTTTCACTAAAATGTAATTAAATAGTTATAGTTACTTTTTACTATGAGTCCTTGAATACATCTCAATTCTTGATATTTTGCCCAGGTGTGGTTGAAAAAACCTACTAGAAAATAATATCCAAACTTATGTCAAATACAATTATTTTGTATAAAAAAAAACTTTTGTACTTTTGGCCCCAAACAGCAATTCTACTGTTGTCTGTCTACACTGGTTTCTGCCAATACTGGTGTCTGCTTACGCTGGTGTCTGCCTACACTGGTTTCTTCCAATACTGGTTTCTGCCAATACTGGTGTCTGCCTACACTGGTTTCTTCCTACACTGGTTTCTTCCAATACTGGTGTCTGCCTACGCTGATATCTGTTTACACTGGTGTCTGCTTACACTGCTGTCTGCCTACGCTGGTGTCTGCCTACGCTGGTGTCTACATACACTGGTGTCTGCCTACACTGGTGTCTGCTTTCACTGTTGTCTGCCTACGCTGGTGTCTGCTTACACTGGTGTCTGCCTACGCTGGTGTCTGCTTACACTGGTGTCTGCTTACGCTGGTGTCTGTCCACGCCGGTGTCTGCCTACGCTGGTGTCTGCTTACACTGGTGTCTGCCTATGCTGGTGTCTGCTTACACTGGTGTCTGCCTACGCGGGTGTCTTCTTACACTGGTGTCTGCTTACGCTGGTGTCTGTCCACGCCGGTGTCTGTCTACGCTGGTGTCGGCTTACACTGGTGTCTGCCTATGCTGGTGTCTGCTTACACTGGGGTCTGTCCACGCTGGTGTCTGCCTACGCCGGTGTCTGCCTATGCTGGTGTCTGCCTACTCTGGTGTCTGCCTACGCTGGTGTCTGCCTACGCCGGTGTCTGCCTATGCTGGTGTCTGCCTACGCTGCTGTCTGCCTACGCTGGTGTCTGTCCACGCCGGTGTCTGCCTATGCCGGTGTCTGCCTATGCCGGTGTCTGCCTATGCTGGTGTCTGCCTACGCTGGTGTCTGCCTATGCCGGTGTCTGCCTACGCTGGTGTCTGCCTACGCTGGTGTCTGCCTATGCCGGTGTCTGCCTACGCTGGTGTCTGCCTACGCATGTGTCTACCTATGCCGGTGTCTGCCTATGCTGGTGTCTGCCTATGCTGGTGTCTGTTTTCACTGGTGTCTGTCCACGCCGATGTCTGCCTACGCTGGTGTCTGCTTATGCCGGTGTCTGCCTATGCCGGTGTCTGCCTATGCTGGTGTCTGCCTATGCTGGTGTCTGCCTACGCTTGTGTCTGCCTACGCTGGTGTCTGTCCACGCCGGTGTCTGCCTATGCCGGTGTCTGCCTATGCCGGTGTCTGCCTATGCTGGTGTCTGCCTACACTGGTGTCTGCCTACGCTGGTGTCTGCCTACGCTGGTGTCTGCCTACGCTGGTGTCTGCCTATGCTGGTGTCTGCCTACGCTGGTGTCTACCTATGCCGGTGTCTGCCTATGCTGGTGTCTGCCTATGCTGGTGTCTGCCTATGCTGGTGTCTGCCTATGCTGGTGTCTGCTTTCACTGGTGTCTGTCCACGCCGATGTCTGCCTACGCTGGTGTCTGCTTATGCCGGTGTCTGCCTACGCTGGTGTCTGCCTATGCTGGTGTCTGTCTACGCTGGTGTCCGCTTTCACTGGTGTCTGTCTAATGTGTGTCTGAATGGTTTCGTGACATAAAGCATTTCGAGCGTCTAGAAAAGCAACGTCTGCTCAACAATGAAACTCAACTTAACTCTCCTTGTGTCTCCTTCATAAAACAGACTTATTCTGTTGACAGAGAGACTTCAGGTCACGCCGATGTTGTTTCAGTCAAACTCGAGCTACTCTTTACAAACTGCCGCAGAGCTGGCACCACACCTTTCTAATCAAATCGCCACGACCTCTCTCGAAGCTGTTCACTTGCGACTCGACTTAAACTTTCTATTTTCCATGCTTTTAATTCTTGTGCAGCTGGGAGGGCGACGAGGCGGTAAATTTCATTCGCTGCTCCGGCTGTGATTTTATTGGTTTTCTGATTGAACTGCAGCTTTAAGGGAGCTTGTTAACAATTAGCGAGCCCTCATCCGCCACGCGCTATAGTCCCCAATAAGCTACTACTGACAAATCAAGACCGACAAGGCGCCCACACATTCAACGTCTGTATTGGTTTCACTGGTCCACTTTGGGTCATGGGTAATCTAATATCCCCGCCATCGCAGAAGACAAATTGAGTTGCAATTTTTGAGATTGAATCTGGAAGTGTGAGACGGCTCCATGTTTATGCTGTTGCTTCACCGAGCTTCCAGAAGATTGGATCTGATATAAATATGTTAGTTCTGCGCGACTTTACTCACTCATGTAACTCCAGAGACGTTTTATTGAGCCATTATTAGTCGCACCCCTGGTTTTATTGTCTACGTGCGTCAGGAGCCGGTCTGTTATTACGTATGGGGAAATTGCCTGGGACTAACAGCTGATCTCCAGACTCATTGCATAATAATCCCAGTGATTAAATCAACCGATATGATGGCGAGGGATTTGATGAGGCGCCGGAGATGCACTGTGCCAACGTGAATAATGACAATGTAATGTGAAATCGATATCAATATTCACAAACTCCAAACGCTGGGTTTGAGCAGTGTTTGGCATCGGAGACGAAACGCTGTCAGCAGCAGTGTTTTAACGGGACTCGATGGAACTACATTTGCTGGATGCAGTTTCTTAGTCATAACAGGCAGGCTGTAAGCATACATTGGGCTATAGAGCTTAATAATATTTTTCTGGCCGTTCCTGACTTGTAAATACTGAGACTTCCTCCGGTGAGAATACTGAAAATCATACAGCACATCTAATAATAATGCATCGGTTTTATGTCGTGTTTTATATATGGCAAGGCAAGTTTATTTATATAGCACAATTCATACACAAGGCAATTCAAAGTGCTGAACAAAACAAGAAAGCATTAAAATCATAAATTATCACAGAACATTAAAAAGAAAGATAAAAATATAAAATCCCTCAGTTGTATGCACAGTTAAACAGAAATGTAGCTCGCGAAAATTCAATTTGGTAGACGTCAGCCAAAAGCTACCCCCTCCAGGCCGGACCGAGGTGAAGTTAGCCGAACGTTTGATATTCGCCTGATATTCGAACAAAATCCCCCTGGATTCAAAGTCTGTCCGTATTTTCAGTTTAGTGAAGAGTGTAGTATTAAATACTGTTCACAACGTTGCCACCTATATAAAAAAAACTTTACTTAGGCTGCAGCTGACGATTTATAACACGAAAAACAATGAAGATGAAGTCTCCTCTCTTACGTGTGATAAGCTCTCACCAAGGGACCGTCTGCAAAGTGCAAGATTTGACAGAACGTTGCAGATGGGTTGGTGAATACAATAAAAACTGCTTTTAAAAAGTAGTTTTTCCCAGTTTTGATGAGTGTAGCAGCTCCATTTGAACAATAGCTAGATACTACAGGCAAGAACTTGGGAAAAATATGGTTTTCCCCTTCATAGCAACAAAAATGAAATTGGAAAAATTCATAAAAAATCAACAAAGACTTTTTTCCCAGTTATGATGGGTGTAGTAGCTCCCATTCAATGATAGCTAGCTACTACAGCCAAAGTTTTGGGAAAAATATTGTTTTCCCCTCCACAGTAACGAAAATGAAATTGGAAAAATTCACTAAAAATCAACAGAGACTTTTTTCCCAGATTTAATGGGTGTAGTAGATCCATTTGAACAATAGCTAGCTACTACAGGCAAGAATTTGGGAAAAATATGGTTTTCCCCTTCACAGTAACAAACATATAATTGGAAACGTTAACTAAAAATCAACAATGACTTTTTTCCCAGATTTGATGGGTGTAGTAGCTCCATTTGAACAATAGCTAGCTACTACAGCCAAACTTTTGGGAAAAATATTGGTTTCCCCTTCACAGCAACAAAAATGAAATTGGAAAAATTCACTAAAAATCAACAAAGACGTTTTTCCCAGTTTTGATGGGTGTAGTAGCTCCCATTCAATGATAGCTAGCTACTACAGCCAAAGTTTTGGGAAAAATATTGTTTTCCCCTTCACAGTAACGAAAATGAAATTGGAAAAATGTACTAAAAAATCAACAAAGACGTTTTCCCCAGATTTGATGGGTGTAGTAGCTCCCATTCAATGATAGCTAGCTACTACAGCCAAACTTTTGGGAAAAATATTGTTTTCCCCTTCACAGTAACGAAAATGAAATTGGAAAAATTCACTAAAAATCAACAAAGACGTTTTCCCCAGTTTTGATGGGTGTAGTAGCTCCATTTGAACAATAGCTAGCTACTACAGGCAAGAACTTGGGAAAAATATGGTTTTCCCCTTCATAGCAACAAAAATGAAAAGGAAAAATTCATAAAAAATCAACAAAGACTTTTTTCCCAGTTATGATGGGTGTAGTAGCTCCCATTCAATGATAGCTAGCTACTACAGCCAAAGTTTTGGGAAAAATATTGTTTTCCCCTTCACAGTAACGAAAATGAAATTGGAAAAATGTACTAAAAATCAACAAAGACGTTTTCCCCAGATTTGATGGGTGTAGTAGCTCCCATTCAATGATAGCTAGCTACTACAGCCAAACTTTTGGGAAAAATATTGTTTTCCCCTTCACAGTAACAAAAATGAAATTGGAAAAATTCACTAAAAATCAACAGAGACTTTTTTCCCAGATTTGATGGGTGTAGTAGATCCATTTGAACAATAGCTAGCTACTACAGGCAAGAATTTGGGAAAAATATGGTTTTCCCCTTCACAGTAACAAACATATAATTGGAGACGTTAACTAAAAATCAACAATGACTTTTTTCCCAGATTTGATGGGTGTAGTAGCTCCATTTGAACAATAGCTAGCTACTACAGCCAAACTTTTGGGAAAAATATTGGTTTCCCCTTCACAGCAACAAAAATGAAATTGGAAAAATTCACTAAAAATCAACAAAGACGTTTTCCCCAGTTTTGATGGGTGTAGTAGCTCCCATTCAATGATAGCTAGCTACTACAGCCAAACTTTTGGGAAAAATATTGTTTCCCCCTTCACAGTAACGAAAATGAAATTGGAAAAATGTACTAAAAATCAACAAAGACGTTTTCCCCAGTTTTGATGGGTGTAGTAGCTCCCATTCAATGATAGCTAGCTACTACAGCCAAACTTTTGGGAAAAATATTGTTTCCCCCTTCACAGTAACGAAAATGAAATTGGAAAAATTCACTAAAAATCAACAAAGACGTTTTCCCCAGTTTTGATGGGTGTAGTAGCTCCATTTGAACAATAGCTAGCTACTACAGGCAAGAACTTGGGAAAAATATGGTTTTCCCCTTCATAGCAACAAAAATGAAATTGGAAAAATTCATAAAAAATCAACAAAGACTTTTTTCCCAGTTATGATGGGTGTAGTAGCTCCCATTCAATGATAGCTAGCTACTACAGCCAAAGTTTTGGGAAAAATATTGTTTTCCCCTTCACAGTAACGAAAATGAAATTGGAAAAATGTACTAAAAATCAACAAAGACGTTTTCCCCAGATTTGATGGGTGTAGTAGCTCCCATTCAATGATAGCTAGCTACTACAGCCAAACTTTTGGGAAAAATATTGTTTTCCCCTTCACAGTAACGAAAATGAAATTGGAAAAATTCACTAAAAATCAACAGAGACTTTTTTCCCAGATTTGATGGGTGTAGTAGATCCATTTGAACAATAGCTAGCTACTACAGCCAAACTTTTGGGAAAAATATTGGTTTCCCCTTCACAGCAACAAAAATGAAATTGGAAAAAATCACTAAAAATCAACAAAGACGTTTTCCCCAGTTTTGATGGGTGTAGTAGATCCATTTGAACAATAGCTAGCTACTACAGGCAAGAATTTGGGAAAAATATGGTTTTCCCCTTCACAGTAATAAACATATAATTGGAAACGTTAACTAAAAATCAACAAAGACGTTTTCCCCAGTTTTGATGGGTGTAGTAGCTCCATTTGAACAATAGCTAGCTACTACAGGCAAGAATTTGGGAAAAATATTGTTTTCCCCTTCACAGCAACAAAAAGGAAATTGGAAAAATGTACTAAAAATCAACAGACGTTTTCCCCAGTTTTGATGGGTGTAGTAGCTCCAATTGAACAGTAGTTATTTACTACAGGCAAGAATAGCCTGCCGATTGTGCAAGTTCTCCCACTTAAAATAATGAAAGAGGTCTGTCATTTTCATCATAGGTACATTTAAACTGTGAGAGACATAATGTGAAAAAAAAGAATCCAGGAATTGACATTTTTAAAGAGTTTATTTGTAAATTATGGTGGAAAGTAGGTATTTGGTCAATAACAAAAATTCAACTCAATACCTTTTAATATAACCTTTTTTGGCAATAACAGAGGTCAAACGATTACTATAGGTCTTTATCAGGTTTGCAGACACAGTAGCTGGTATTTTGGCCCAACTCCCTCCACAGATTTTCAATGGGGTTGAGGTCTGGAGACCGGTTAGGCCACTCCAGTACTTTCAAATGCTTCTTACGGAGCCACTCCTTCGTTGCCCGGGCGGTGTGTTTAGGATCATTGTCATGCTGGAAGACCCAGCCACGTTTCATCTTCAAAGCTCTCACTGATGGAAGGAGGTTTTGGCTCAAAATCTCACAATACATGGCCCCA